AGCATCGCCAACAGGTGGAGAGCTTACTAAAAGATCATCAATCAGCGATTTTCAGGTCTCTTTCAAATAATTTAAAGTAAAACTTAACTTAGAAAAGAAATGATTTTTTATTATCAGCTGCATTTTACGACTAGTTGTAACAGATATTATGCTATGTTCTTAATATTTTTTCAGCAATTAAACGATAGTATCAGTGTTACCCTTATTTTGGCCTTACAAATTAGGATTTAGTTTTATTTTCTAAATCTTAAGAAATTTCTGTCTCATTCAGTGGTGCGTTTTTCGAATAAAACATTACCTAAAAAATCGGCTTTTTTACTAGCTTCCTAGCTGTGAATAGTTTTCACTATCTTGTAATAACATGTTCTAATAACTTAATGGTTGGTTTCAAATTCTGTGAATGATTTCTGCCGTTTTTTGGTTCATTTGCCGAAACACAGCCATCAAATATTCTTTATGGGGATCTAGTAATACCATATTTTTTCATGAGATTTAATATTGAATATTACTTTGAACCGAATTTAGTGCTGATTTAAGGAAAGATCAGGCTATCGTGGAATGTTTTGATTAACGCATTTAGTTTTACTAATAACTGCTCGTAAATTAGTTCTTCATGACAAACAGAAAGAGATTGCAGTTGATAGAAGATACGAAGAAAAAAGATGGGGAAGATGTTAGTGTTGGTGGAGCAGGCGATTTGCTAGCAACACTAGAATCAGATCAAGTAACTGATACGTTACCAACAGCTATTGAGACTGCAGAATCGGATCAGCCAAGAAGAACTGTAGGTTGCCTTTTATTACTGAAACTTTTTTTATCATCAAATTCATGCAAAAAATTTTGCTGAACACGCTTTCTTTTTCGTTGTATTGAACAGAAAACAGAGGACTACTTCCGGTAATACATGCTTATTAATTCTCTCGGATTTATATATTTTGTCTACATTCCTTGTAGAAATTCCATCTTCTTTTATTGATAAGTTTTCTGCCAAATTTTTCTTTAGAAGCTTCGAATAGGAAAATAGGAAAAACACTTTATGGTATCCTAAAATGTACACACTACAACATTAAATCCTGAATTATTCCTCATTTCCTCATTTCATACTGTTCCTAAATTCATTGTATATTGCTTTTCCAGGTAAAAGTTACTCTGAAAGAAATTGATACTGCGTATTATGAAGTTTTAAAATGGTTGGAAGCGGCTGATCCAAAGGTTTTTGCTTATTTTATTTTGTATGCAACCTAATCAGCAGATAGATTCAGTTGTAGGTTTTTATTATAAATCCCATCCTCCAAAGAATGTTTAATGATGTCGGTGATTGCACGCTAGAGGATTTTGTTTTCTATATTTTTTTACGATTTTCTATTCTGAGACATGAGGCATATATGTAAAGCTACATTATATCAATTTGCATAAGATTTGATTTAGAAGATTACCAGATGTTTAGGCCTTCCTAGTTTCTGTCGTGAATATAATCGTAGATATTAAAATTTTGTTTCAAAATGGTGTTTAAAAGACATGCTTAATTAAATTAATGTTGTGTTTCTATTTATTTTGTCTTATTTAATTTTCCTGAGAGCTTAAAAGAGACCTATGTTATAAATTTAAAAAATTGTTGTCGATAATGTAACGCACAAGTTTAACGCCTTGATACATATATTGCAGCGGTTAAAATAAGCAAAAATGAATCTCTGGAAGAAATTTTGTAAGTTTTTGTAAATAAAAATGAAGTCATAGTAGATGATTCATTTTCCAGATTTTGATACTATCTGCAAAGCAAGCTGTTGCACATGCCCATTATGCTCGAGCATTAAAATACTTGAGAAAGGCAAGTGAAGATAAAAATTTTGCAAATAATTTGATTATGGAAGCGGCAGCTGTTGAGGTAATGATATTTTTCTTTTCTGTATTTGTAAGAATTTTATTGGAATTAAAATTGTCGTCAGAAATACATATTCTGTCTTGACCAAAGAATAATACATAAAAAATATCAAATGACGAATTTATTATTTGCTTGATGGAGAGATTACGAGTAGGAAAGATTTCCTGAATGAATTATATTTTTGGCGATAAAAAATGATTGGTCAATATCTGTAGGTTCTATCTTAATGTAGTTATTCCGTTACTACGACTTCCATTTTAACGGAAATTTTGTTCCCAACATCACAATAACTATAAAAGAAGCATTCGATCTCAAAGAATATTACTTCTTCCTTCCTTTTCAGTACATGTAATTGACACGTAGTTACGAGGGAATTCCAATAATCAAGCACTCATTTCAATGCCGTAATAAGTAAAGACAAGTAAGCTGAAAATAGATTAATCGAATTTCCATCATGAAGGGACTAGGAGCAATTGCTTTGAATAGCAAAAAACAGTGACAATGCAAAGCTTTACTAGGTTTGTGAGTCTTAGAAATAAAAAATTTGTGAATCTTAAAATAAATTTTTTATCCACAACCTCTATTTCCAGCTTGTGGAACAATTAGGTTGGATGCATATCGCAAGCAATTTACGGAACCAAATGATTATTAAATATCGCAATGACTACCGCCTTTTTTGAAATGCAACGTAATCGTTATTTGCACTTAGTATCTTAACAATCTTTGGAAATGAAGTTTACATAAAACAGCGGAATGTATTTTTGCATTTATTGCAAGATATTGTTGATTGATCTTAGAATTGATCATGATAATGACGTTTTATAGTTTTTTTTTGGTTAATGTCTTAAATTTATTTTCTTAAAAATAAAATTCGTTCATTTCTTGACGAAAAAAATATTCTGATTTAGGTGAAGAATTTCATTTTTCATTGCTTTTCTTTCAGAGACTTCTTTTGGAACATCTTAAATGAAAGCTCGCATATACAATTCGTTTTCATATTTTAGCTTTTCTCTTTCAACTCGCCTTGGTTTTCGGTGTACTGACTTTATGGCAGCAATTTTACTCATTGCGTAATCCGTATTCAAATCTTGCAAGGATGATGTCATGGCGGTAATCAGCAAGTGTTGAGGGATTTCATAATTTTTACACTGATCGAGATTTTCTGCTATTTCTGCCACAATTTTATTATATATTCGTGTAGTGGTTTTCAGTACTCATGTACTGCTCTTGTAATATCTTACTTCATTTTTTATATTACGTTACAGTTTTGCATATGAAAAAGAATTACAGTACTGAAATTTTGAACGCCATAGATTTATAATGTTAAATTTGGGACTGTATTGAGATTTGTTGAAACTAGTAGAATTACAACAAGAAATATCTAACAGCAAATTTGCGGATTTCGAAGTTCCTTCAGTTTTAGTATTACTGAACCAAATGCTGATCAAGTATCACTTTAAATCATCTTATCAAAGCCAAGACTTAGTGTTCTACGAGAAATCCAAGCTGAGCACAGAATAAATCGAGATATGAAACTTTAGCAAAACTAAGATTTTTAGATTTCCGATTAAATCGTGTCGAAAATAAACTGTATTTCGTACAAATTCCTTTTTGCCTTCGTTTTTCTCTTTTCTGTAACTCTTTTTCTTTCCTAATTTTATCAGCATCGGCATGCATGGTTCAGCTTTACAGTAATTGAATCTCCTCCACTCTTGCATTGTTCGGCGCAATCTTTGCAGGAAGGAAAAAATATGGCTAACGCTTTTGGTAAGAAGTGATTATAAATCATAATTGACTAACTTTTGGTAATGAATATTATTCAAGAACAATAAAGCAACACATAGGACAAATCCATGATATGGAATATTTGCTAGTCCCCACAAATATCTTACATCATAGATTATAGCTTCCCTTCTTACGTGTTATTTTTTCTTTTTTTTGTTAAATTAAGAACGATAACTTGATTTATTCAAGAACAATAAAGCCAATGCGGAGGACAAATCCATGTTCCTAAAAAATTTTCTTTCCTCATCATCCCTTTTCTAAGAGCCAATAATTTCGAAACATGAGAAAACACAAAGACAATATATCTGCTTGGTTTCTGATGAAAGAAATTTTGAAATGTTGGGGAAAATTCCCAAATTTGAGGCTTTTAAATCCGAAATTTCGAAATATAAAAGGAAGGAAACTAACATCGTATGCTGCCACTTTGGTTCTATTTTTATTTATTCTGCCTTTCATAAAAGTTATTACAGTTTAAATCAGATGCTATTTGAGTATTAACATTTGAAATATTTAAATAGAAATAATATCTTCATTATGTTGTCAACGCGTTCACTACCTTTCTTTGCAATACATTTGCTTGAGTGTTTCTATTGGTGATAAGTACACAATAAAGATGTGGTAATGAAACACACAAAGCAAGAAACACCGACTGCGAAGAAAAAAGTAATGGTAAGAATTGGTAAGAGAAATTCTGATGATTAACAATTCTACGCTTTTAGATAACTGTATTTCAAATTACTCCACCATAATTTTCTAAACTTCCGTATGATAAGTCCTGGTAGAAGACATCGTATATGACTACAAAGTAGACTAATGGTTTTGCCATAGGATCTTTAGCGCATCACCAAAACTAATTTAATATAAAGTTAAACAAGTGGGATTGAAAAATGATCGTTTAGCGATTCAAGTCTGTACAGAAACAACAAAACGGATCTATTCTTAAATATCAAAAAAAAGATGAAATAAGATCTGATACCATGAGCAAAAGATTCTCATGAGTGTCAGGTTATTTTAGCAAATACAGAAGTACATGGTGCGCGTAAATGAGGAATTCAGCCAAAACACATCAATAGCGGAAATAAAAAATATTTCAATCATCCGTAAAAAGGTGCAGTCTTGGTTTCAAAGCATTCTAGTAGACGAAGCTAATGATCCAGTAATTAAAATGAAAAAAAAAAGCAACAACCTTAAGAATAAACTTAAATACAAAACTTCAAATTCGATTGAAAAGAGGAAAATTTTCTGTCTCTTCCTTAATTCAATCTCCTTCACTCCTTAATGAACACTGAATTTTCAGCATTTTATTAACAGATCCAAAAATAATTCCCAAGATCTAGAAACCACCATGCTGTTTCTTGTGATTTACAATTTTACTTATAACAACTAAAATTTGGCGAAACATGCAGTAAGTGCACAACGAAACAAGTAAAAACCAACTAATTGGAGCTTCCGCTCCGAGAACTTCTGCTCGAATCTGAACTGCTCGAATGTTTTGATGACGAACTGAAATTATTTTAAAAATGAAAACCGAAAATGTCAATTACTAGAAATTTCACAAAAGCTTTGAAAAAAAGTTCATTTTCAATTTTTTAACATTTCCCTTTTTAATAGTTCTTCCATCCTTTCTCTGCTTATATCTTATTTACTGCCTATTCCTAATCTTTTCTCTTTTCATCAGTCATAGAATAGTTTTTTTTAACCTCTGAAAAGAGAACAAAATTAACCTGCTGCTAGCATCGCTCCGAGAGTCGCTTGACGAACTGTGACTGCTAGTACTTGAAGAAGATGACGAACGTTTTCGACTACGTCTTGAATACTGAAATTGTGACAAGTCAGCATGAGTGGAAGTGCACCCATTACATTCTCGTTCCTTTGAGATGTGATAAAGTCTGTATTTGCATGATACAATTGGAGATGCCAGAAAATTTAATATTTTTAGTGTGTAGCGATGTACCTTCCATGAAACAATTTTTGTGCTTTTCGTAGCGATAGTAAGATACTCACATCTACACAAGAGAATAAAAAACCGTATTCTAAAAAAGTGGAATAATGCATATCCCAGCAAATAATATTGATTAGCATAATAATATCTCCAAACTATAAAATTTCGTCATTTATTCATAACACAAAGATTAAATGTCATCTCATTTCTTCAAAATAAATACCGAACCCGATCACTGTCTCGTCGAGCACTTCGGCTTCTACTGCGTCTTCTATCAGAATATCTATCAAAGCTTCGACGTCGTTCACGTTCTCGACGCATGCGTTCATCATATAGTTCTCGTCTAGTTGGCCGGCGAGTACGGGGCCATCCCTCGAACCGACGGACATAACCTCTCGATCGTGATCGTGATCTTAAATCAATGAATTCTGATTGTGTTATAGTAAAGTTTAAGGCTTTTTATTAAGAACCTATTCAAAATGACTAGTGAAGCAGGGAAAGGAGTTACCTAAGACGGCGATCACGTGACCTTGAACGACGGCTCGAACTTCGTCGCCTGCGGACATTACTTCTGCTTCGGCGTTTCCGACTACAACTTCTCTCACTCCGTTTCATTTCTTGCAATTTTTCACCACTCTTCCGTTTTTTAGGAACTTCACTTATCTGCTGTTTGCTTTCCTCTGATTTTGACAATTCCGTTTTTAAATTTCTCTGCTCTGAAACTTCTTCATTCGCTCTCTTATTAGTTGAATTAACTTCCTGCAATTTTCCATTTATTGATATCTTCGAATTATCACTGCTGCTAGAATCTATCTGACTTGTTTTTGTTCCTGCAGTTTTATTTTCGCAGTTAGTTTCATTTTTTTGGACTGACGTTTCCTTTACTTTCAAACTGTCCACTTTTTCTTGACTAATACTCCGTCTTCCACAATCCTCAACGCTTTGACTCCTATGCCTTCGCTCTGTTTTCTCCTTGTGATCCTTGCTATCGCTTTTCCGTTGATGTCGTTTACTTCCCGTATTCGCTTCTACAATTTGATTCTTGTCTTGTCCATCGGTAGTTAGCTTTTCATGGTCACTACTTTTATGCTCTTGATGCTGTCCATCTTTTCCGGCACTGTCCTGTTTTTCTCCAGAAATCGTCTTTCGATCTCGTTCGTTATTATCACCAACCTTTTCAATCATCGATTCTGTAAAACAGAAAAAAAATCAAATCTAACCACCATCCTAGTTTACCCTTTCTTCTCCATATAAATTCTTACTATGAGTAAAAGAGATGTTGGAAAGAAACCAAAACCAAATAATCAAGCCGTTTAAATTGATACAAGCAAGTAGACAGTTACTTTCTACATGCAAAATATGAAACTTATCTTTGCAAATATATACATTACGACGTATAGCGAGTTTCGTTTCTGTCTCATTTTAGAAGTGAATATTGAAATCATTAAACCTACCATGTTTCGCTTTCTCTTCTGCCCTTTCTTTTGCCTTTAATAAATGAATCCTGATGGCTTCATCATCACTGTCTCTAATATCTTCAGCACTGTCCAGCATAACTTCTACTGATGGCTCATCCAAATTTAATTCATCTACTGCAGCAGCTTTTTCACCATTCTAAATTTATACAATTTTTCAATATGCCCACTGACGAGACCTACTAAGCAAGAGGCGCTCCCTTCTGTTCCTTTCTTTCCGAGCCCCACAGTCAGTTTCCTCTGTTTTCCCATCGAAATCTCATCTAGTATTATAATTCTGTGAACTTCATACATTAGTAACATTAACTATAGAAAACCATAGAACTTACAGCCTCAATTTTTTCTTTTTCAACGGCTAGTCCTCGTTGATCTCTTTTTATTCGTTTCGCATCCTCACTGTCTCCAGCTTCATCGATTTTACGGCGAATCTTTTCACTCGTGAAATGTCGTGTCATATGCTCCGGTGATCGTCGCTAAAAAGAGCGTTCATAAGAGTTCATTTCTTGAAACAAGTATTTTTATTGCAGGTCATCTTTCCATAAATTTCTATTTCTGTTAAAAAATTCTTCAAGCGCCAATGACAACTGAAGTCAAGTATTATACACGTTATTATGCGGAATTTTTCGAAGAAATGGAGTACTTAATTTCAAAGCTTACCGTCGTGTGTCTACTTCGATCATGTTTCCTTTCGGACCTACCACGATATTTTTCCTCTTTGTTTTCAGTTTTCTTAGATATATTTAATAAAACATCAGTTTTTCCTTTACCGCTGACATTGTTTTTCGGATTTTCAAGCTCTTCAAGCTCGTATGCCTTCCTTTTCTCTTGCAAACGATGCAATTCGTCAAGTGTTATTACACGATTCTAAAAGCAAAAAAAAAAATCACTTTAAAGATTTTTTATTCCGAATGTCCCATTATTATAAAGCTGATGTATCAAACACAAAACATCCCAATGTCTTGAGACATACCCGTTTAATAAAATCTGAAATGAAATGTTTAAAATTTAAACTATAGCGTTTCATAAAAATATAAATTATCATCAAACAATGACTAAAAGTGGAAATTAAAAATTGGCTCAGGTATTTCTTCATCAGAGCAACGAAATAATTAATTTATGCCGAACAAGATATTATAAAATTCTAAACCTGTTCACGTCTCCAATGAGGAGGAGTCCGACTTCCATCATGATCACTACTGCCCTCTGGAGTTCGAAATCGAAGTGCGCCGCGCCCCTGAACAAATGCAATATTTCAAGTTGTGAATGTTGAATAAGACAATTTAAGCTCGACGTTGATAAACATTATAAAAAGTCTTATAAACGTAAAAAATTGGAAATATCTAATTTATTTTGGTAAAGGAGCGAAATAATTTCACATGATGTCTAAATGTGATAAATAAGTGAAACAGAAAACTTCAAATTAACTAAATGAATAACTATTTGAACAATGGTTATTAAATATACAGGTGATGGTACCTTTATTTTATGTCCAGTTCGTGTTCTCCGCATACGATTCAAACGCTGGCCAATATCGCGTCGCGAAAAACGTTGAGGTGATTGTCGCGGTTTTTCTCGCTTTTCTTTCCTTGAATTTTCTGGTGTTTTTGATCTAAAAAAAATTAAAATCTTTGCGAAGAAAGGCAATTTTATGATATAAGAAAAAATGAATCAAAACTAAAAACCTCACTCTCAAACAATTATTAAGCACTCACCGTCTCATAAGATACTTATTTTGCTGCTCCGATTCTTCAGGCAAATCTTCCGGCTTTATACTCGACAGCTGCAATTCTGTTTCCGGAACTGTAGTACCGATTTCTAAATGTTCCACCTCATCGCTTTCCTTCCACTTCTTCTCTTTCATTTTTGCCTTCTTTGTCTTCTTGTGACTTTTTTCAGTCGATGAAGAAGAACTAAAAGATCAATATATTGCGTCAAAAATAAAAGCAAAAAAAAACAAGACATTTCAAGAATAAACGGACGAGGAGTTATATTTCATCTCAGATTCAAAAATAAAGTTCAGTAGAGACTCATTATGAAATAAAGATCTCCGGCATAAGCATTTGAATGTAATTCGCCCAAACACGAATCCCTCCTTACCTGCCCGATTCACTTGATCTAGAAGAATGCCGTTGTTTTTTCCGTCGAACAAGTTCACCACAATTAAGTATTACAACATCAGCCAATGGCCGATTCTTGGAATTAGTTTTCAAATATTCGATTTTGGTTACAACTTCTTGCCCAATAACAACCTATAAATGTTTTTTTCCGAATTTATTTCTGATTGCTACACTTATTTCTTGTAAATATGAAGAAAAAAACAAACAACTTTTTCATGCTCTAAAAGTAAGTCATAGCGATCAATTCAAACATTCTTTGATAGAGAAATAAATAAAGCTGGATATTTTAATCATCGTAAGGCAATAAGATTAAAATAAACTCAGGAACACTGAAATTACGCAGACTTTATTTTAGTCGAATGTGGAATCTACCGATTTTCAAAAAACGCATGATACTCACGTTTATGTAGAATAAGATATGTAAAATATGTAAAAAGAAAATAAATAGACATAGGATTGAATTCAATCTTGAACGTTTTAAGTTACTAACCTTACCAAATACCACGTGGATATTATTGAGATGTGGAGCAGGAGTTGTAGTAATGAAAAATTGTGAACCGTTTGTATTAGGTCCTTTATTTGCCATCGACACAACAAATGGTTCATCATGCTTCATGATAAATTCTTCATCATCGAACATACCACCATAAATTGATTCCCCACCGGTCCCGTCACCTTTCGTAAAATCACCTCCCTAAAAAAACAAAGTTGCATCTCTATTTCGATATTAAATTTCTTTCATCGCATATTGCTATCATTTCTAACAAAATATTGCTAATTACAGCATCACACTTTGTTTTGTTGTCTAATAAATATATGAAGCAATTGCACGCAAATCAATTTTTGCCGTATTACTGAAAAATTTTTACCTGAATCATGAAATTCTTGATAACACGATGAAATGTAGATCCTTTGTAGTGCAAAGGTTTGCCACTAATCTTACCAGTACCAGCCATACCAGTACAAAGCATCAGGAAATTGTTACATGTTCGTGGTGCTATGTCATTGTATAATTCGATGACAATGCGACCCGCGAGGTTACCATCAATTGTTACATCGAAAAATACCCGGCGGCGATCTTTTATTGACATTTTTCCTCAGAATGGAAGAATTAAATTAGGAATTGAAAAATAAAAACCAAAATTAAGAAACTTTCGCGGAATTTATTTACATAAATGGAATTGATGTCAAACTTAAATCTTTCTTCAAACAGTAACTAATAAGCGGAAGGTTATTGGATATTCATAGCACCGCCGAGATCCAACATTGATTGATGGTACCAATGAAACATAATTTCTTTTTACTTCTAATAAAAACTTAGATGACGAAAAAACTCAGGATACCCTCTAGCCAGAAGAATGGACACAATCCTGAAATACATAATTAGTCCACCAGATGGCATCGGCCAATAGTGAAATACCGAATAGACTTATTTCATGTCAGATACTACAAAGCGAGAGATTTCGGAGAGCTTTCATCGAGAATATTGTGGTAAGCTTGCTTTTACAGTTTCGCTTGATATAAACGTTAAGCCATTGTCAAGTAGATTGAGTTTTATTTAAAACCAAAATCTAAGTCATTTATGCTATACTGAAAAACGATTTTTTTTTATCAGCAACTCTTTTCTTAAGTTTCAACTATTTAAATGTATATACTAACTGGCTCGTTTCAATGATTATCGATTTTCAATGTTAATTCAGAAGGCATCAATCTTTTGAAATGATATTTACTGTAGAATTGTTGCATATATAATATTATTATGGATAGTTTAAGTGTAGTGTTGACTAGTTTTTTTTTCTTTTTTTATTTAAATGATGTGATGGAATTTCGAATGAGTGAGAAGTGGAGATATAAAACATCTCTTTTTACTAGCATGTCACAAGAATTAGACTGTTAGTTTACAAATATTTGAAAAATTGACGGAAAGTATTCTACACATGAATCTACTCAAAGTGGCATAAGTGGATTTGCTGGATTGATTTGGTTTTACTAATCCCACTGTAGTTTGCTTGTAGGCATTCGTTGTGTTAAAGCTGATAGTCATGTGCTTGTCGTTTTGTTATGGATGTTCTGGATTAAGCAAATTTTACTGGATAAACAATCAGTTCATAAAATAAAAATAAATGGACACTTTTACTTGTATTATTGGCTTACCTTTATCATAGTTATGATTAAGATAAAATTCATGATTAAGATAAAATGGAATGGAGTTATCTTATGGTAATGGAATGAAGGTATGAAGATGAAATAATGAATGAAGTAATGAAGTATGAAGTGAAAAAGATTCAT